GTCTTTGAGAAAAGAGAGGGTGGTGAGGGGCCCCCCCCAGAGGGTCAGCAGCCCCATCTTTGAGAAGCAAAGCCCTCTTACTGGTGCCCACACAGTGGCAGTCCCCGGCCTGTGCCCATCCAGGGGCCAGGGCGGTGGGCTCCACCCCTGGGAATGCTGGAGCCCCTCCCTGGAGTCCTGGGGGTCTGGGGCTCACCCCAGCCCTGGAATGTCGGGTGTGTGAGGAGGTGGGCAGGAGGGTTTGAGGGGGCCGAGAAAGAGAGAAGGCGGAGGCCTGGGAGCCGATGGACCCCCCCATTCCAGACCAGCCCCGGGGCCTCGGCCACCCCCCGAAGGCCCACACCTGTTCCGCCCAGAGAGAAAACCAAGAAGTCGGTCCAGGGGGAAACCTGCCCGAGGAAGGAGCCCAAGGAAGGGGCAGAACAAGGCTTCGGTTGGCAAAAGAAGCTGGAGGAGGCTGGGGAGAAACAAGCTGTCGCAGATTTAAACATAGAGACACTGACGGGTGGACAGGTCACGCCCAGGGCAGATGCGATGCGTGGAATGCGCTGAAGGATGGGGCGGGGCGGGCGGGGCCCAGCGGGCTCAGATGGCCTCCACGTAGTTGGCCGGCAGCATCCCCGTGTCACCGGTGCGCTCCACGGTCCCGTACATCCAGCCGTCGTCGATCTGCTGCACGTTGACGATGGTGTCCCCATCCTGGAAGGAGACCTCGTCCTCGTCCGCGGCGCTGTAGTCGTACACAGCGCGGTACCGCTTCTGCGTGGGGGGGGGAGGGGTAGAGGGGGGAACACAGTCAGCCCCGGGCCCAGCCTGCGGCCCAGCCTTCCTTCCTAACTGCCCGGGACCCAGGAGCAGAGCCTGGGTGAGCAGGGACCCAGGAGCCAGAGACAGGGAAGGGCTGGGCCCTGCCTTGGGTTTCTCACTGTCACTTTCTGAGTGTGTCCAATCTATTTGGCATCTGCTAAAAGGCAGGCAGGCACGCCCTGGCCGGTGTACCTCAGTTGGTTACAGCGCTGCCCTAAACACCGGAAGGTCACAGGTTCGATTCCCCGTCAAGGCACATACCCAGGTTGCAGGAGGCGGCCAATTGATGCTTCTCTCTCACAACAGTGTTTCTCTCTCCCTCTCCCTTCCCCTCTCTTTAAAATCAATAATAACATATCCTCAGGTGAGAATTAAAAAAATAATAATAAATGAAATAAAGGCAGGCACAAGACAGGAACTGAGTTTCCAATAGCCCTGCTCCACCTCTCAAAACAGGAATGCAGGGAGGTCCCACGGACATGATGCCAGTCAGTGTTGCAAAATCGGCTGTGCCCTGTACGCTATTATCTGCATTATCATGAGCACCAGTCTTCTTTTTTCGAAGTTGTGATAAGTCCGGCTTCACCCCCAAGCTCAGGACAAAGACCTATTCTTGGGAGAAAAATCTCCAGGTGACACAAGAGATTTCCACCTTGCAACTTCAGCCAAATTCTCCTTGAGCTCTAGGAAATGTCCAGTAAAAGCACGTGAAATCCAACTGTGGCCTTGGAGGTGGAGAAGATTCTAACATACTCTGACCCTACTGCCCTTGATGTTGACTGATCTCTGGAGGTCAGCTCAGCCACTGTGGCCCCGCCAAGCCAGGCCCTGGGAACTGCATGGGGCCAGCAGTGGGGCCCCATTGCCAATTGGTCAAGGGCTAGGTGTGCCTGGGGGACCTCCCGTGTCCACTGCTCCACCCCCCTGCCAGGACCCTGCTCAGACCTCTTCCCAGTCTCCGGTCTGGTCTGCCCCCTCCAACTGTTCATCCATTGTCACTTCAGGGGAACTTTCCAAAATGCAAACTTGACCGTGTTTCTCCCTGGCTTTAAGTCCTTCAAAGGTCCCCATCCTTTTTAGCACCAAATTTCAAACTCCCCCCCTCCCCCAAGCAACAGAAACCTACTCCATTAGCCCCCATGTCTATGGGATGAGCATCCCAGCCCTCACATGGTGACCTTGGTCTCTCATACTACCAATCTGCCTGTATCTTTTGGGCTGAGTAGCCACTATCTATGTCCATATTCTGCAACAGCCTCCTACCACATCTCCCTGTTTCCACCCTCAACTTCCTACTGCCTCTTCTCAACACAGGGGTTAGCACAACCTTTGAAAAACACAGGTCAAAACCGTCACCCTGTATAAGTCACCAGTCCTGAAGGCCGTCCAGTCCCAGGTCCCTGCATAATCTGACCTCATCTCCTACCCTCTTGCCCTCTCTAGTCCCCTGAGCCTTCCTGCTGGTCCTTGAACTTTCCGAGCACATTCCTGCCCCAGGGCCTTTGTACCACTCGCTCACTACTCGCTCCTTCACTTTGAGGACTTTGCTGCTCTCTCCCCTTACCCTGCTGTCTTTTTCTTCATGTGCCACTATCTGACCTTTCAGTGTTTGTATCTCAGACTGGAGGTCAGAGAGGAAAATAGAAACATCAATGATGAGAGAATCACTGATTGGCTGCCTCCTGCATGCCCTCTACTAGAGATCGAGCGCAGCCTGGGCATGTGCCCCTGGCCAGAATTGAACCTGGGACCTTTCAGTCCGCAGGCCGACCCTCTATCCACTGAGCCAAACCGGGTTAGGGCTAAAGATGGTCTTTTATTCAGAGCTATATCTCTCCTGTCCAGGACATGCATAGTATGTGCAGGACTGGCTACTTTATTTCTCTAAGTATTGTCCCTCCTGCTCCTACATGAGCTACTCAAATGTCCAGGCACCCAGAACAGAGCTGAGCTCGGCCAGGAGCTGAGTAAGGGCGGCTCAGCCACACCTGTGAGCAGCAGGGCTTACAGCCCAGGAACCTCAACTCTAAGGGACCAGTGAGAACACCTCACTTCCTGCTCATCACGTATGACTTGTCAGTGATGACTTGTCAAAGCGCCGCTTTGTGCCCAGCTCAGAGCAAGTGACCCGAAGGGACAGTGTGCAGCCTGCACAGAGCTTCAAGTCCAGTGGAGGACACAGACAGAAGC